GTGGTGCAGGCCACCGCTCTTCTCTAGTTTCGAAACTTTTTCATCACTCCAGAATAGTACCTCATACTCATTAAAGTAAATCACTACCCATTCCTCCCTCCCCATGTTACCTGGCAGTCACTAATCTGCTTTCTGTCTCTATGGGTTTGCCTATTCTGGACAGTTCATGTGAAGGAAATCATATAATATGTGACTTTTTTGTGACTGGCTTCTTTTACTGAGCATAGAGTTTTCAAAGTCATCCAAGTTGTAGCATGTATCAGTACTTCATTTCTTTTTATGGCTGAATTTAAATTTTTTTAAATAATAAACAATTTGTTTATCCATTCTTCCATTGATGGACATTTGGGTTATTTCCACTTTTTAGCTATTGCAAATAATGCTGCTATAAACATTTGTGAACGGGTATCCGTTTGAGTACCTGATTTTCTTTTAGGTATATACTTAAGAGTGGAATTGCTGAGTCACAGGGTAATTCTATGTTTAACTTCTTGAAGAACCACCAGACTTAGCCACAGCAGCTGCACCATTTTATATCCCATCAACAGTGTACGAGGGTTCCAATTTTTCACATCCTCACCAATACGTATTTCTGTTTTTCTTATGATAGCCAACCTAGTTGGTAGGAAGTGGTGTTTCATTATGGTGGATTTTTTATTTTATTTTTTTAAATTAATTAATTTATTTTTGACTGCATTGGGTCTTCATTGCTGCACGTGGGCTTTCTCTAGTTACGGCGAGTGGGGGCTTCTCTTCGTTGTGGTGCGTGGGCTTCTCATTGCAGTGGCTCCTCTTGTTGTGGAGCACGGGCTCTAGACGCGCAAGCTTCCGTAGTTGTGGCTCACGGGCTTTGTTGTTCTGCGGCATGTGGGATCTTCCTGGGCTAGGGCTCGAACCCGTGTCCCATGCATTGGCAGGTGGATTCTTAACCACTGTGCCACCAGGGAAGCCCTATGGTGGGTTTTTTAAAATGATAATTCTCAAATGTTATGCTTTTATTGTGGTAAAAAAAATACATACATAACATAAAATACATAACATAAAATTTAGCTTTTAACCATTTTTTTTAACCATTTTTAAGTGTGCAGTTCAGTGGCGTTAAGTACATTCACATTGTTGTGCAACCTTCACCACCATCCATTTCCAGAACTTTTTCATCTTCTGAAACTGAAACTCTGTACACATATAACACTAACTCCTCAATCTCCCCTTCTCCCCAGCCCTTGGCAGCTACATTCTATTTTCTGTCTCTATGAATTTGACTGCTCTCACACAGTAGCACATTGTACAATATTTGTCCTTTTATGTCTGGCTATTTCACTTAGTATAATGTCTTCAGGGTCCATCAATGTTGTAGCATGTGTCAGAATTTCATTCCTTTCTAAAGCTGAAAAATATTCCATTGTGTGTATATATCACATTTTGTTTATCCATTCCTCTGTTAATGGACACTTGGGTGGTTTCTACCTTATGGCTATTGTGAATAATACTGCTGTGAACGTGGGTGTACAAATTTCTTTTCAAGACCCTGCTTTCAATTCTTTTGGGTATATACCCAGAGGTGGAATTGCTGAATCATATGGTAATTCTATGTTTAATTTTTTGAGGAACCATCATACGGTTTTCCATAGCGAGTACACCATTTTACATTTTACACTAGATAATAGCCATCCTGAGGTGTAAAATGGTTTCTCATTGTGGTTTTGATTTGCATTTCTTTAATGATCAGTAATGCTGATCATTTTTTCACATGCTTTTTGTCCTTTTGTGTATCATCGTTGGAGAATATCTATTCAAACCAAATGATCCTATTTTAATTGGGTTATCTTTCTGTTGATGAGTTGTAAGAGTTCTTTATGTATTCTGGATACTAAACCCTTATCAGATGTATGATTTGCAAATATTTTCTCCCATTCTGTAATGTCCTTTCACTTTTTTCTTGGTAATGTCCTCTGATGCACACATGTTTTAAATTTTTAATGAAATCCGGTTTACCTCTTCTTTCTTTGGTAGGTCATACTTGCAGTGTCAAATCTAAATCCATTGCCGAATCTGGGGTCATGATACTTTTTTTCTAATAGTTTTATGGTGTTAGCTCTTACATTTAGATCATTGATCCATTTTGAGTTAAATTTTATACATGAATTGAGGGTAAGGGTCCAACTTCATTATTTTGCTTGTGGCTGTCCCAGTAGCATCTGTTGAAGAATCTATTTTTTTCCCCATTGAATGGTCTTGGCATCCTTGGCAAAATCATTTGGCCATAGACATTTGAGTTTATTTCTGGACTCTCAATTCTGTTCCATTGGTCTATATGTCTATCTTTATTCCAGTACTATGCTGTTTTGATTACTGTAGCTTTGTAGTAAGTTGAAATTGGGAAATGGTGCATCTTCCAACTTTTTCTTTTTTTATATTGTTTTGGTTATTTGGGGCTCTTTGCAATTCTGTATGAATTTGAGGAGCCGCTTTTCCATTTCTGCAGAAAAGGCCATTGAAATTGAATAGGGATTGCATTGAAACTGTAGATTACTTTGGGGGAAGATTGCTATCTTAACAATATTGTTTTCCAGTTCATGAACGTGGGATTCCTTTCCTTTTATGTAGGTCTTCTTTAATTTCTTTCAGCAATCTTTTATAGTTTATAGTGTCAAGTCTTTCATCTCCTTGGTTACATTTATTCCTAGGCATTTTATTCTTTTGGATACTACTGTACATGGAATTGTTTTCTTAATTTCTATTTTGGATTGTTCCTTGCTGGTGTATAGAAACATAACTGATTTTTCATGTTGCTTTTTTTTTTTTTTTTGTGGTACGCAGGCCTCTCACTGTTGTGGCCTCTCCTGTTGTGGAGCACAGGCTCTTGATGCGCAGGCTCAGCGGCCATGACTCACGGGCCCAGCTGCTCCGCGGCATGTGGGATCTTCCCGGACCGGGGCACGAACCTGTGTCCCCTGCATTGGCAGGCGGACTGTTAGCCACATAGTTTTTTGTGTGTGTGTGTATTGTTTAGGGTTTGTGTTGCTTAGGAATTTGTCCGTTTTATCTATATTATCTAATTTGTTGGAGTACAATTATTTCTAGTATTCTGTTATAATCCTTTAAATTTCTGTAAGGTTGGTAGTAGTAGTCACACTTTCATTTCTGATTTTAGTTATTTATATCTTCTCTCTTTTCTTAGTCTAGCTAAAATTTGTCAGTTTAGCTTTGATGTTTTCAAAGAACCAACTTTTGGTTTCATTGATTTGCTCTGTTGTTTTTCTATTCTCTATTTCATTTATTGCTGCTTGAATCTTTATTATTTGCTTCCTTCTGCTGGCTTTGGGTTTCATTTGCTCTTTTTCTAGTTCCATAAGTTATAAAGTTAGGTTGTTGTTTTGAAATCTTTTTTCTTTTTAGGCGTTTTTAGCTATAAATTTGCCTCTGAGCATTGCTTTTGCTGTATCTCATAAGTCTTGGTATGTTTTGCTTTTGCTTCTGTTTTCTTTTGTCTCAAAATATTTTCTAACTGCCCAAGTGATTTTCTCTTGACCTAGTGGTTTTTTAAGAGTTAGGATTTAATTTTTAAAATACCTGTCTGTCTGGGGTTGAGTGAGCAAACAATTGTTAGGATCTCTTCTTGGTTTGCTTTACTTTATAGCTTTGGTTAATAGATTGGGGCAGGATTTTATGATAATAATCTATGACAGATTCATTTGCCATAAAGCTAAATGTCTAGATTTCAGCAGATTATAGCTAGATAATTTGTTGCTGTAGGAGATGTGTTTGCAAGATTTCAGAGTCCAGTAAATATTTAATTACATTGAGTGTCATACTTAGAGAAGAAAGAATCCTTCAATAGAATATTATAGATATATAGAAATACAGCTGTTTTCTCTGAAGTTTGGTTTCTTTAGCTGTGGAAGTTTGGCTTTTTTTTTTCCCCCCCAAGGAAGGCAACTATATCTGACCAATTGTACTCACTTGGAGTTTTTAGGCTATTGTACATAATGTGGGAAGTTTTTGCAGAGTATGAAGTAAAATTAGATTTGCTTATGAAAAGTGTGTCACAGGTAGCATTATTGGAAGGCAAAGATTTTACACATTTTGGTAGTCTCCCACAAGGTTGATTTTACTAGAGGTGTGATATAAGGGTGTTCATGATGGGGAAATGAACTTTAAAAAAAATAATCATTTATTTGGCTAATAGTTACATGATCACAAACAGAAATTACAGGTACTTTATTGTTTCAAAATGTGATAGAGTTGAATGTACACATTCATTATTTTGGAACATTACTGTCATACATTCTTCCAGCAGAGAGGTAGTAAGAAGTAGCTTCATCTTGGCCTCTGGGAAAGTTTTGGTACTTAAGTACCATTTGGTTGCTAGAGACGCTGAGGATCATCACGTTTCGGTGAGGTTCTCCTGTGTAACCTGTGTGCACATGTTCCCAGACACTAAAAAGAAAAGGCACAGAGGAAGTGAGCATTTTTATTCAGTGCCTCGTTGAACTCTTAGAAGAAATATAATATATTATTATGGAACGGAAGGCCCCTTGAAATCTTAGGAGAAGGATAAGTATTATTATAAGTTGGGAAGGGACCTTGGAGATCACTTCATCCAACCTTCTCATTTTTTTTTTTAGTATACTTCCTTTAATGGGCAGCACAAGTATTTATTGAAAGACTACCTTAAATAGGGCATCATCATCTCCTGAAAAAGGGCACAAGAAGCTTGTCAGCCTGGTTGGGAAAGCAGGATACAGATATAAGAGGGTTAAAGAAGTTGGGATTATGGACGTAAGCTTGTAGGCACGCTGGGTGAAGGCAGAAGTAAGGCTCTGGGCTGGGGGGTGATGCTTGATGAAAAGTGGATGGGAGGTCTTAGCAAGTAAGAGGCGAGCTGGAAGGAGAGGAGCTTTAGTTGGAGAGTGAGATCTTTGAAGTCGTGATTTTGAAGAGAAGGCCAAGGTTAGTGGAGGCTAAAGTGGAGTGAGAGAACAGATCATTGGAATAGAGGATTCAAAGACATGAGAGGCAACGGTGTTGGATGGTTCAGCCACATGGATCTTAAGTTAGTCAAATAGAGCTGGAGAGGAGGATGGTGAGCCAGGTGACGAAGTCTTACTGAAGAAGGGTCATGCCCAGGAGCTTGGTGATGACCACGTATGTTAACAAATTAACGTTCAGAGCAGGATACACCAGAAGTACATTAGAGTGAAGCAGGGCAAAGAGGTAACGTCAGCAAGTGTTTCTTAACGTTTAAATCTTGCTAATGGTAAATAGAAAGTAAAATTGCAACTCATTGATACATTCAGAGTACTTCTGGTGAAGTCTCACAAAATGTGCTAAGGATATCTTATTTTGGACTTTTTGGTAGCTCCTGTCTTCGTTCCTGGCTAGAACAAGACACCTCCTGCCCAACATGCAGAATGTCTCTTAATATTGCCGACAATAATCGTGTCAGGGAAGAGCATCAAGGAGAGAATTTGGATGAGAATTTGGTTCCTGTAGCAGCAGCTGAAGGCAGACCTCGCTTAAACCAACACAATCACTTCTTCCACTTTGATGGTTAGTTGGTTTCAACCTCTAAAACCATCCGCCAGGGGTTTTCTCCCCTTAGGGGATGATGTTTTAATTATAACTTGCCCTGTATGGGCGAGTTCAACGTTATATTTCAGTTTTAATTGAAAATGTTCGGTAAGTATAGACAGCACAGAGGGGTTATTCTGTGCCAGGCATTTTGCTAGATTCTGTGTGAATTGGGGGGACGGGGGGTGCGACGAGGTGAAAGTAGTTACAATTGAATCAACCGTGACTGCAAGGAGCATGCTGAATCAGCTTAGTAGTTAAACTGCTGCTAGTAATTTATTGAATCCGTGTGATACTTAAGCATATAATGAAGGGTCATTTAGCAGCCTTTCCAGTGGGTACCAGAAGGAGAATCAGAACTAGAACCCTGTTTCTTTGCCTATAAAATATGAATGTTCCATCTTCCAGAATATTGAAAGGAGTTGTAATAAAACCACACTTAAAATTCTAAGGTCATGGGCACCGTGTCAGGGGCTGGTTGATCATCCTTTAGTTCACATTACATCAGGCTGTTGTTGATTTTCATCAATTCCAATCCCATTAAGTTCTGTGGGTTCATATTTCCTACTCTACAGTAGGTGTCCCTGGACTATTTGTTTAAGAGGAGTGCTCTTCAGGTCTCTGATTTGAGTTTCTAAGGGTAGAGCACGGTGGGAGTGGCAACACATTGAAATCCCTGATAGGAAGGACCGAAGGAGTATAGTGGAGTCTCTGGGAGGAGGGGATGATGGCTGCTTGGCTGGCTGGGCAGGGATGCTGGGCAGGTGTAGAGGGGCTGCTTTGTGGCTGCTGATTACGGCCTCTACCACGTAAGACTTCTGAAATAGACTAGCAGATCTTGGACATGGGTCCTGGCTATGTAAGCTATTACTTTATGAATTATTACTGAAAACTTAGTCAAAATAGATAAAGGTAACTTTATTTCTCCCTAGTAAGTACATGAAATAAGTACCCAGCTTTTTATTGGGTACAGTCTATCCAGGCAGGATCTTTGAGATGGCCATTGAACTTGTTTTACATTCCAGGCCTCAGTGTTTCTTTGTGAAGGAAAGGGAAATCCTCCTTAAATGTGTGCTTGTTAATGGAGTTGTTTTACTGCTGACACCTGGTGGTGGTCTATCTTAGGAGCCCCTTTCCTTAGTGAAATGGCAGAAGCAGCAGACTTCTTGGTACAATTAGTCCGCAAACCTGTGTTATAGAACTCTTTGAAAAGAATTTCGAATCAGAAAACTAAAGTCTTTAAACCAGATTATTAAGTAAAAAATACTTCATGAAAATGATGTCTCCAAGCGCGTAGTATTTGTGTGTAGCGTGAAAGAGAGGGGCAAATTCTCATCTACTGTAGTAGCTTTAGAGCCCTGAAAACCTTCCTTATAGTGTAGCCTGAGAGAGGGATTGAGTTTGTGTGGATCCAGGGCCACTGGAAAGCAGGAAAGCCCAGTGGTGAAGTGTTCTGGAACCTGACTGTCTGGCTTTAAGTCCTGGCCACCATAATTAAATGCTGTGATCTTGGGCAAGTTACCTCAGTTCCGAGTGCCTTGGAGAACCAACAAGAGCACTAGAGTCAAATCTCTGAGAAGAGTAAAATGGGAATAATAATAATAATAAACCCATGTGGGGTTTTAGTAGGGATTGAATGAGCTAATCCACAGGGGACACTTGGTCAGAAGACCTGGTGTAAAGTAAGCCCTCAGTGAGTACCAGCTGGTACCATAGAGTGGCCGACTGCAGAGTAACTGACAGGGGAAAGAGGTCTCTAAGACTTGTGCTGGCTTCTTGTTTGTTTTAGGGTCCCGGATTGCGAGTTGGCTGCCAAGTTTTTCAGTCGAAGTGATGCACACCACCAACATTCTAGGAATTACTCAGGCAAGCAACTCCCAGCTTAATGCAATGGTAAGGACCGCTCACTGCTTTTAAAAGGTGATTAATAATCGGGAGGGAAGGTAAAGCTGGAGAACGTGTGCAGTGTGCATGACTCAGTTGGTCTCACTCTGCTCTGGCAGAACAGCGGAATTTAAAAAAAAATGGCAGGATTTTCAGGAGCATCTTATTCACTGGGATGACTTCAATCCCTGCACTTTAAAATTTGAAACTGGTTTGGAAACCAGCTTTCATTTTACTTGTGTGGCAGATAATGTAACCTTTTCTGAGCACTACTGAGTTCACTCTCATGATCTAGGCTAGTGTTGGGACACCTCTTGATTTTCACCATAAATATTTGGGGAGTTATTGGCTGGAGTGAATGATGTGACTTTTATTAAAAATTGTCGTAGGCCTACTGAGTGTGTTATTTTAACCCCCTCTCCCCCCTTCCCAAAGTAAATAAATGAGTATACCTTCACATACACACTTATACATACATACATCCTGTGGATATACATATATAAGTATAAATATATACACATACACCCCTTGAGATATTCAAGCATGCTCTTGGTTCAAGGATATTGTCCACATATTTCAAGATTCTTCGTATTTTTCTAAAGCTTTGTCATATGGTGTGTATTTTTATTTTACAGTGTTGGAGAAACATGGTTCACCATTTTTGAAATGTAGTGTTCATTGTGATGATAAATGCAGGAGTCTTAAAAATGCAACCTGTGTTAGTCCAACAAATGTGTACTGAAAGCCTGTTCCCGAGACGGGCACTGTGCAGTGTCAACAAATTGCGTAGCACCTGTAGTGTCAACAAGGTGGACAGGAGCCCTACTCTTAAGAAGTGTGAATTCTACATGGGGTGGGGGGGAGGAGGCTGATTATAAACACCAACAGATAAGATCATTGCCGATGGGGATGAGGACTCTGCAGGCAGTAGGGCAGGTGATGTGGTGGAGGGGTGGGTAAAGGCTGTTCCAGAGGAGACATTCAGAGAAGTCTCAAGAGGTGATATTTAAGCTGAGACATGAAGGCTGAGAAGAGAAGGAGACAGATCGGGGGAAAGAGGCAGTGGAAACAGTAGGTGCAAAGGCCATGAGGTGAGAATGTTCTGAAAACAGAGAGGTGATTGTGGTTGGAGCCTGTGAGTCAGAACCAAGATTGTGACATAAATTGAGGTTGCAGAGCCCGGTCATGCAGGGATTTGTAGGCCACAGTCCAGTTTAGATACTGTAATGAAAGTATGAGGCAGCCATTCAGGGCTTTTTTTTTCCCTCCCCCAGGGAACTGACCAGGACAGTTAACAGAATAATTTACTTCTGAGAGAATGAATTTTAGAGGGGCAAAAATGGAACCAGTGAGACCAGTTAGGAGACTGTTGCAGTAGTTCAGGCTTGGACCAGGGCATTGGAAATAAAGATGAAAAGAAGTGGTGGATTTCAGATGCCTTTCGAAGATGAACTGATGGACTTGACAGTGCTTTGATTTGGATGTGGGGTAGTGGGGTGAGGGGAGTGCTGGTTTTCAGTCAGGCAGCTGAGCAGTGGTATCATGTATGAGATGGGCAGGACGGGAGGAGGAACAGATGAAGGACAGGGACTCAGCCTTCTGTTTGGCTGGGGAAGTTGGGGTGTCTATGAGACATCCAAGTAGAGATGTCATGTAGACAGTTCTGGACCTCAGGAAAGAGATCCAGCTGGAGAGAGACATTTGGGAGCTTTAGTCTGTAGGGGACTGGGTCTCTTCGAGGGAAAGAAGGTAGCTCAGAAGGAGAAGAGGGCTCAGGACTGAGGTCTGGCTGAATGGGAGGAGCCATGGCAGCGATTGAGAAGGAAGGAAACCAGGAGAAGCGTCAAGTCAACCATGTGGGAATTCTTAGAAGATGAGGTCAGAGACGTGCATGTTGGGTTTGGCACAGTGGAGATGGTTAATCATCTGGAGAGGAGCAAGCAGTTTCCATTGCTTGAGGTGCTGAGTACTAGATTGTTGGGTTGGAAAGTGAGTGGGAGCTGAAGACACCCAGTAGCTGGCAGTGTGTTATAAGAGGGAGTGGAGAAGTAAGGAGGTGGCTTGATAGGGGTGTGCCGTTAGAGGAATTTTTGTTAATTTTTTTTTAAAGATTTTTGGAGCAGGCCATTTATCCACAAATTTCAAAACTTGTAGAGAGTATCCAGAGAAGTCTTTTCCTCCGTCTGCCCAGACACCCTCCTCTCTTGCGGTAACAACTTCAATTAGTTTCTTCTGTGTTGCGTTTTTCCAGAATGTTTATATACACATATAAGCAAATGCTAAGTATGTATTCTTTTTCTTTTCCCCACGGGTCTTCTTTTTTCTATTTTTTAAAGTGTGATAAAATACATGTACCACAAAATTTATGATCTTAATTTTTAAGTGTACAGTTCAGTGGTATTAAGTATACATATTCTTGTGCAACTATCAGCCACAATCCATCTCCAGAACTCTTTTCATCGTGCAAAACTGAAGCTCTATACCCAGTAAACAGTAACTCCCCATTCCCTCCTCCCTAGCCCCTGGCAGCCACCATTCTCCTTTCTTTCTCTGGATTTGACTACTTTAGGTACCTCATATAAGCAGAATCATACGGTATTTATCTTTTTGTGACTGGCTTATTTTACTGGACTTAATGTCCTCAGGGTTCAACTATGTTGTAGCATGTGTCAGAATTTCCTTCCTTCTTAAGGCTGGATAATATCCCATTGTATGAATAAACCACATTTTGCTTATCCGTTTATCTGTCGGTGGACACTTGGGTTGCTTCCATGTTTTAGCTATCATGAGTAATGACACTATGAACATGGGTGTACAAATACCTCTTGGAGACCCTGCTTTCAGTTCTTTTGAGTACCCAAGAGTCTTAAAAAGATTCTAAAACATGCTTGGTGTGCGAATAGGAATGATCACTGGAGGGGGAGAGATTGATGGTACAGAACAAACAGAAAAGTTAACTGAAGGCAAAGACCTGAGGTGGAGGGTGGGCTTGGGAGCCGGAGCCAGGAGAGGGGCATTCTCACCTTTGTTGGGAGGCAGGATGGACATAGCTACAGGCGTGTTGTTTTGAGATATGGTTTAAAAAGAAGGCATGGCTCATGATAACCATTTGGGTAGAAGCAGCCTAAGTGTCCATCAGAGATGAATAGATTATGAAAATGCTCTGTCCACACAGTGGAATATTATTCAGCCTGAAAAAGAAGAACTTTGAGGATACTATGCTAAGTGAAATAAGCTAGTCACAAAAAGACAAATACTGCGTGATTCCACTTACATGGGCCATCTAAATTACTCAGACTCTTAGAAAGCAGAATGGTGGTTGCCAGGGGCTGGGGGAGGGGGAGGGGGAGTGACTGTGAATGAGGACGGGTTTTCTTTTTGGGGGGATGAAAATGTCCTGGTACTCAACAGTGGTGACTTTTGCACAACATTGTGAATGTACTAAATGCCATTGAACTGTACACTTTAAAATGGTTAAAATGGTGAATTGTGTGCCCCTCCCCCCCAGAAAGGGAAAAGAGCCTTGAATTGTGAGAGAGAAAAGGATTGAACTGGAAGATTAGGAGGGGCACTGGGAGAGGATTGGGGCGTGAAGGAAAAGCCCACCAACATGGGTGAATTTTGGAGGAAGAGAGAGGAAGGTGGCGAGGAGGGAGGGATTTTAGGCAGTGTAGCTGTGGGTGGGAAGATCTGTAAAGAGTAGGTCAACTGATGTTTTGGAGGCAAATTCATGTTTGGGTTGGATATGACCAATTGATGAGATGGTTATAAGACTGGCCCCCCAGGGACTTCCTTCGTGGTCCAGCAGTTAAGACCCTGCACTCCCAATGCAGGGGGCCAGGGTCTGATCCCTGGTCAGGAAACTAGAACTCGCATTGCAACTAAGAGTCCATGTGCCGCAACTAAAAGATCCCAAATGTCAAACTAAAACCTGGCTCAGCCAAATAAATAGATGAATATTAAAAACAACAACAACAACAAAAAGACTGGCCCCCAGGCAGCCCAGCTTTACTTGGGTTATCCATTCTCTGTGGCCCATTCATGCTGTGTTTACCACAATCCTCGATGGAAACACTCAGTCCCCACCCTGTGGGATGGGGGTTCAGGCCAATTTTTATTGAATTTTAAAGGACAATGTAGGGAATTCCCTGGTGGTCCAGTGGTTAGGACTCAACGCTTTCACTGCCGGGGCCCAGGTTCAATCCCTGCTTGGGGAATTAAGATCCTGCAAGCCACTTGGTGCAGCAGAAAAAAACAAACAAACAAAAAAAAACCAGACAATTTAATGTCCAGGGGCTGGGACTTCCCTGGTGGTCCAGTGGCTAAGACTCCACGCTCCCAATGCAGGGGGCCCAGGTTCGATCCCTGGTCAGGGAGCTAGATCCCACATGCCACAACTAAGAGCCTACATGCTGCAACTAAGAGTTCGCATGCTGCAACTAAAAGATCCTGCATGCCAGCAACTAAAGATCCCACCTGCTTCAATGAAGATCCCACACGTGGCAACAAAGATCCCACATGCTGCAACTAAGACCTGACGCAGCCAAATAAATAAATAAATATATTTTTTAAATGTCCAGGGGCTGACATCCAAGTAGCTGCATTGTCTGTACTTCTAAGCCTTTTCTCTGGTGTTGGTCAAATGCAAACGAGTAAAAGATACAAAATACGCATACCTGTAGATGCATTCCAGGAATTGGCTTCATAATCATAAACATAGACTTTTCGATTCACTACTAACAGCAATACTGAACCAGCAAAATGGGCTGATGTTACTTCTGGTATGCCAACCTAAGAGTAATGACATATATGATATCAGTATGTACATCTCTTCGGACATCGATTCAGAAAGCAGTACTTCTAGACACGCATCCATGGAACATTCATTCCAGCAAGAGTTCTTTGGGTCCTAGATATTGGGATCTATGTATCTTGGGGATTAGCTGAAAGCAAAATTGGGAGGTCAAAATTGGTGTTTGGTGCCCTCGGATAGCTAAATTTGCTCCATTTCCTTCTGGGGGAGTGGGGGGGTCGCTCTTCAGTGGGTGTAGAGTTTCGGTTTTGCAAGATGAAAGCGTTCTGGAGACCTGTTGCACAGCAGTGTGTGTATAGTTAACATTGCTGTACGCTTAAAAATGGTTAAGATGGGCAATTTTACATTATATGATTTTGACCATTAAAAAAAAAAAAAGGCCTGGCTTCCCGCGGGCTTCTGCTTTCTCAGTGAAGCACTCAGCCAGGTCATCAGCAGAGAGTGAGAGTGACGTTGTGAGGGCAGATGGACTGGGAGTGCGCAGCCCTGCGTGGCCGATGACTGGCTCGGGTCAGGCCCTGCGTCGGTACTTCAGGATCGGGCAGCTGTTGAAGCTTTTCAGGTGGATCACCTCACCTGCCCCCTTAAAAAAATCAGAATTCATGGACGTGTAACCCTCCCAGGAATGAGAATTACCTTCTTGGAGTTGGTGTGTTTAGAATTCTCAGGCAGGCCCTGGTGTTCTTCCTCCCGTTGCATGGTGGATTGTATAGCCTATTTTTAGCACAACTAATTTACTGTCACAATACTTTTTTTTTTTTTTTTTTTTTTTTCTCTCACTGTTGTGTCCTCTCCCATTGCGGAGCACAGGCTCCGGACACGCAGGCTCAGCGGCCATGGCTCACGGGCCCAGCCACTCCGCGGCATGTGGGATCTTCCCGGACTGGGGCACGAACCCGTGTCCCCTGCACCGGCAGGCGGACTCTCAACCACTGCGCCACCAGGGAAGCCCTGTCACAATACATTTTTTATAAAAGTCTAATATATAACTTGCTGGATTTTCTGGAAGAAAAGCTTTGGCCCAGTGAACTGAATCTTGGACTTATTTTATTTGGGAAATGAGAAGGGACCTTTTTAAGAAGAGAGGAGAATGTTATCTGATTATTGAGGTTGTTTTGGACTCTTGCCCAGTTAGCTTTGACCTGACCTGGGTTTTTAAAAATGATCAACTCACCTTCATAGAAACAATGAGGGGATCCCAGGTCCGTGGAGCTCCGGGTCCTACACACTTGTCTTGTCCTCCCTGCCCCAACGATGACCCAAAGCGAAGCTTTGCACAGGTTTCACCCCAGTCTTTTCTCTCTAGGCCTGACACTGGGACACGTTCCTCTTTTTCTACATGACAACATATTCCTTGGGAGCCACTATCCCAACAGTAGACTTCATTGTGCCCCCAAAGCAATTATATGTTTCCTTGTTGTTTTTTCTTTTGATCATTGGGACTTTTCCACAAATAAAACCTTGAACATAAGCATTTTTAAAATAAATATACACGTATGAGAAAAAAGTCTGGAGCTGCTCAGGTGAACGTACTGGTGGTGGTGTGCCGAGATCTCTGCCTGCTCCCCTCTGTACACACGCCCACCCTAGAGCCCTGATGGCCTCTGAGGCGTTTCTAGAGTACAGTTTGAAAACTGCGGCTCCAGAGCAACATTAGCAATTACATTTATTTTTTTATTTTTTACTTTTATTTATTGATTTAATTTATTTGGCTGCATCGGGTCTTAGTTGCAGCATGCAGGATCTTCGCTGCGGCGCATGGCCTTCTCTAGTTGTGGCATGTGGGCTGCAGAGCACACCAACTCAGTAGCTGCAGCACGCAGGCTCTCTGGTTGTGGCACGACTAGGGATCGAGCCTGCGTGGCCTGCAGTGGAAGGCAGATTCTTAGCCACTGGATCACCAGGGAAGTCCCAGCAATTACATTTTTTGCAGTCTTTTTTTTTTTTTAATTTGAAGTAAAATTTATATACAATAAATTCACCTTTTTTAATATCCATCTCTGAGTTTTGTCAAACTCGTTCAGTCATGTGACCATCACAATAATCAAAATATAGAACAGTTCCTTTCCGCCTCCCCCCAGATTCCATTATGCCCCTTTGTAATCACTTCCTCTCCCACACCCAGCCTGTAGCAACCACTTATCAGTTTTCTGTCTCTGTAATTTTGCTTATTCTAGAATGTCATATAAATGGAATCATAGGGTACATAGCCTTTTGAGTTGAGCTTCTTTCACTTAATGCATTTGAATTTCACCCATGTAGTGTGTATCAGAAGTTTGTTCCTTTTACGAATTAAATCTTTAAGCAGAACACGTTTATATACCTGAATTTTACTGAGCTTTAAAATGAATGCTTTTTAAAACTAGAATATTCTAGTTCAGCCTGTCTCGGGCTTCAGTGGATTTCTGGGCATTTTTTATTTGAAATTGATGTTGTCCCCAAGTTTTCTGTTTGGCATTCTGGAAAAATACTAAAAAACCCTGCAGTTTGACGGTGATCTGTGGCATAGAGGTGGTCCCTTACTTGTGTTTTCAAGGCAGGTCACCAAGTTCAGTGCCCAGAGGCTGCCTTACCCCATGACCTCAGTGAGTAACTGTTGAGAGTGAACATTTCATGGCTTCTTTGTTTGTATTCCTATAGGCTCATCAGATTCAAGAGATGTTTCCCCAGGTTCCATACCACCTAGTACTGCAGGACCTCCAGCTGACACGTTCAGTCGAAATAACAACAGACAACATTTTAGAAGGACGGATTCAAGTACCTTTTCCCACACAGGTAAACTGAGGTTTCAGACACGACAAATGAACTCTGTCATCACAAAGGTTTAATCTTCTAGATTAACTTTCTAGTTACTTAACAGCTGAATATCATTTATGATTTGATGAAGGGTTTCTGTGAATTCCCTAACTTTCCAGATTATGACTGAGAACAGACCCATCCAAGAGGGTTGGATTAAGACAAGGACAAAACTATTTGCCTAATTTTTTGTGCAGATATACACCCCAAACCAGCTTGCCCTTGCCAGTCCAGGAGGTCCTAGCATCGGTTCCTTTTGGACAAGGATTGGCACTCTTTCCC